CCTGGTACCAGTCCCCCCCCGGGTAGACCCCCTCCCCCCACAGGGTCCTGCTCCCTCAGGTGTGTCCCAGGTAGACCCACCCCCCTTGGATGAGCCAGTTGAGATCTCTTCTGACTCCTCTGACTCACCTGAGGGGGGTGACGCCGTCGCCGACGACACGGCGACCACTCGCCACACTCCTCGCTTGTCGACCCCCCCAGGTTTCCCGCCACGGCCGTCTTCGCCGCCTCCGCAGCCTGCTGCTGTGGACTCTGGAGCTGAGACTACTGGAGCTGGGGCTGGGGGTGGTGAGTCTAGGGGTGCCCGCTCTCCTCGTCTGGTTTCCCCCCCCGGGTTCCCACCTCTGCCGTCTTCGCCGCCTCTGCAGCCTACTGCTGTGGACACTGGAGCAGAGACTGAGGGTGCTGAGACTGAGGGTGCTGGGACTGAGGGTACTGAGCCTGAGGGTGCTGAGACTGAGGGTGCTGAGACTGAGGGTGCTGGGACTGAGGGTGCTGAGCCTGAGGGTGCTGGGACTAAGGGTACTGAGACTTTGGGTGCTGACTCTGGGGGTGCTGAGACTTCGGGTGCTGACTCTGGGGGTGCCGCGAGTCCTTCTGGAGGTCCTGGAGCTGGAGGTACTGGAGCTACTAGGCCTGGAGGTCCTACTGGAGGTACTAGAGGTACTACTGGTGCTGGAGGTACTGGAGCTGCTGTTGGTGCTGGAGGTGCTGGAGCTGGAGGTACTAGAGGTGCTTCTGGTGCTGGAGGTGCTAGAGCTACCACTACTGGAGGTAGTGGAGCTGGACAGCCACCGCAGACTGCTCTACTTGAGACGCTCTCGCCGCAGGCGATTCGTGCGTGGGTCGTTCTGCGAGGCAGCCCTGGTGGTGGAGGGTACGGTCCTGCTGGTGCTGGAGCTACTAGTCCAGGAGGTGCTGCTGGTGCTGGAGGTGCTGGAGGTACTACTGGAGGTACTAGAGGTGCTGTTGGTGCAGGAGGTACTGGAGATGCTGGTGCTGGGGGTACTGGAGCTGCTGCCGGTGCTGGAGGTACTGGAGCTGGTGGCACTGGAGGTGCTGGTGCTACTGGTGCTGGAGCTGCGGGAGCTGCTGACCCTGGAGGTGCTGCAACTGCTGGTGCTGGAGGCGTTGGAGCTGGAGGTACTGGAGGTGCTGGAGCTACTGGTCCCGGAGGTGCTCGTACTGGAGGTGCTGGAGCTGCCGGAGCAGGTGGTACTGCTGGTGCTGGAGGTGCAAGAGGTGCTACTGGAGCTGCTGGCACAGGAGGTACTGGAGGTACTACTGGTGCTGGAGGCGCTGGAGCTGGAGCTGGAGGCACTGGAGGTGCTGGAGGTACTACTGGTGCTCGAGGTGCTGGCGCTGTCGGAGCTCGTGGTGCTGGAGGTGCTGGTGCTACTGGTGCTGGAGGTGTTGCTGGGGATACTGGAGGAGCTACTCGTGCTGGAGGTACGGGAGCTACTGGTGCTCTTCGCCACCTTCTCAGTCTTCCGCCAGGTGCTACTGGCTTCCCTGTGGCAGGTACTACTCCTCCGTTGCTGTGTCCGCCAGCGGACCAGTCACAGCCACCGCTGCTACCACACTCCCCACTGCCTGCTCCTGCTCCTTACACTGCGGTGTCAGAGTCCCTGACTGAGCGTCAAGAGCCTGAGACTCGTGCTTCCACCCCTGAGCGTCGAGAGCCTGAGTCTAGCTTTGACCTTGAGCCTGAGCCTAGAGCTGCTGTCCGTGCTCGTGTTCCTCGTGTTCGTCGTCCGCGTGCTCCGGCTGTCCCCGGCACTCACGATATGACACTCCGTCCTTCCTCTGTTCCTCAGCGTGTTGTACTACCGTTACCTCCTGCGTCCTCTCTGCCTGACGTTGCTGACCCTCCGTCTGACCTTGCTCGTGCGTCCAGTCCGACTGTTACTCGCCTTCTTGCTACGGTTGTGATGGACCCTACGTTCTCGTCTCCTGCTGCGTCTGCCCTAGTAGCTGAGCTCGTTGACTTTGCTGCTGTGTACCGCCTAGACTACCTTGCGAGTCTTGTCTCTGACCCTGTCCCTGCCTGTCCTCCGTCCGTCGGGGGTGAGACTGCTCTTGGCTGTACTGCCCTTGGCTGTGACGTTCTTGAGGACAGACAGGAGGAGCTGGAGTGCCTTGCTGCCGCTTCACCCCATCACGCGACCATGCTGCTTGCCCCTGAGGGAGACCCGGATGCACTTGACATCCCCACCCCGCGCTCCTACAGGGAGGCGATTTCGATGAGTACTCCTCTCAGTGGCAGACAGCCATGGACGCAGAGATGGCTTCCTGGAAGTCCACAGGCACCTACGTCGACGAGGTTCCCCCACCTGGGGCGAACATCGTCAGTGGCATGTGGATTTTCAGGGTGAAGCGGCCGCCGGGTTCTCCGCCTGCCTTCAAGGCACGTTACGTTGCTCGAGGCTTCAGTCAGCGTGAGGGGGTCGACTTCTTTCAGACCTTCTCCCCCACCCCGAAGATGACCACTCTTCGGGTGTTGCTACACGTTGCAGCTCAGCGTGACTACGAGCTGCACTCCCTCGACTTCTCGACAGCTTTCTTGCAGGGTAGCCTTCACGAGGCCATCTGGTTGCGCCGTCCACAGGGCTTCACTGGGTCGTTTCCTGAGGGTACCCAGTGGAGCCTACGGCGACCAGTGTACGGCCTGCGTCAGGCGCCCCATGAGTGGCACGACACACTGAGGACGACACTTGCGGCTCTTGGGTTTTGCTCCTTCGACTGCTGACCCATCGCTGTTTCTACGCACCGACACTACTCTGCCGCCGTTCTACATCCTCGTGTATGTCGACGACTTGCTTTTTGCTACTGCTGACACTGAGGCACTGGCCCTAGTGACGGTGGAGCTGCAGGAGAGACACACCTGCACTGACCTGGGTGAGCTGCGGAGCTATCTTGGCTTGCAGATCACCCGGGACAGACCACGGCGCACCATCACCCTGACTCAGTCACACATGGTGCACCAGGTCCTTCAGCGCTTCCGCTTCACGTACTCCTCGCCACAGCCCACTCCTCTGGCTACCGGCCACTCGCTCTCAGCTCCACCTTCGGACGAGTCCGTAGAGCCGAGTGGTCCGTACCCAGAGCTTGTGGGCTGCCTCATGTACCTGATGACGTGCACACGACCTGACCTCGCGTACCCTCTCAGCCTTCTGGCTCGCTACGTGGCACCCGGTAGGCACCGAAAGGTGCACTTTGATGCTGCGAAGAGGGTACTGCGTTACTTGTGCAGCACATCGGGCATGGGGCTCGTGCTTGGAGGACGGGGTTCGGTGGTCCTCACAGGACACTCTGACGCTTCTTGGGCCGATGACCAGGCGACTCAGCGTTCGTCACAGGGCTACACCTTCAGTCTTGGCGCTGGTTCTGTCTCGTGGAGGTCCACTCGTTCTTCTTCTGTGCTTGGTTCCAGCTGTGAGGCCGAGATCTACGCTGGGGCCATGGCTGCACAGGAGCTGCGCTGGCTGACCTACCTGCTGACCGACTTGGGGGAGCGGCCTCGTTCTCCTCCAGTTCTGTACGTCGACAACAAGGCAATGCTTGCCTTGTGTCGCGAGCAGGGACTGGAGCACCGAACGAAGCACATTGCTCTTCGCTACTTCCTTGCGCGTGAGCTGCAGCAGCGTGGTCAGCAACGCCTTGCTTTCGTGGCCTCTCGGGCCAACATTGCTGATGTCTTCACCAAGGCCCTTAGGGCTGGTGATCATCAGCGTTTCTGCACTGCTCTTGGGCTTGTGCCCACTCTGCCTCACCTGCTGGTTGCTTGACTTGTTCTTGTTGTACACTGCTATATATCTTTATACCTGCATGTTTTCTCTTGCTAGGTTGTGATCAGTGTACTGCCTTGCTATTATATACCTCTGCATGTGAACTGGCCTTGTGGCCACTTTCTTGTGCTCAGAATGCGTGGTGACTTAGTGATCCACCCTGGGCTGTGTTCTCTTCTGCAGACTGGTCTTGTGACCGCTTGTTGTGTTTGTTATCCCCTACTTTGCCTATGGGGGTGTGTCAAATTGCAATTGTATCTCTAGGCTACAGTAGGGTCACTCCTTAGTGAGTACAACACTTTAGGGTTAGCTTTCCCCTACTTGTACTCACCTCTTGCCTAGTTCAATCACTCACTTCTAGTTCTATTCTTGACACAACCTACAGAACCAGCTCTACTCTTGTCATAAATTGAACTCCAAGAGGTTGATACCTATATTTCTAAACCCCAAATGGGCATCAAGCCAAGCTTCCGGTCCCTCCACAACGGTGCATGCAATGCAAGGAGATTTTTGGAATTCTCTTGTTAGCAACGATATGCATTTCGGAGGTTCTGGACTTGTGCATCTAGCTAACAGGGATGGCAATCTTGACGCAATGCCGAACTGCGAGGCGGACGTGAGCGGCACGGCGCTGAAGAAGGAGCAGGCCTTGAAGGCAAAGATGTTCTTGAAGCGCTGCACGTCGTGCGTCTTGGTGAACCACTGGAAGACCGGAGAGGGGAAACAAAGGGAGTGGGCAGATACGAAATGGGAAACAGGACTTGAGACGCTTCAAATCCTGAAGAAGACTGGAAAGAGAAGGTACGAGGAGTGAGCCATATGGGGCTGGAGAATTAAATAAACATCTAGGATTGGGGCGAAAAGGAAGGGAGAGAGACAATATTGGGGATGGGGTGAAAGAGGGAGGGTAGGGGTGTCAGTGGGAACGAGGGAAAGGGAGAGCGGAAGTATATTCTGGTTAACTCCCAAAGTCCAGTGCGTGGTTTCCCTACCCACGCCCTTGGTTCAGCCTAAGCGCACCCTACCAGCCTCCCATTCAACTCACCCAACCCCTCCATCCCACCCGCTCCTCACTCACCGAGAATGTCCCCTGGCTTGACAGCAGGGGGCTTCCACAGGTTGACTCCCCCACTCCTGCGGCTTCTGATTCACTTGGTCTAGCCTCCCATTCAGCTCACCCATCCCCACTCACTCCATCCATCCCACCCGCTCCTCACTCATCGAGAATGTCGCCTGGTTTCACAGCAGGGGGCTTCCACAGGTTGACCCCCCCCCTCCAGTGACTCACTGGGTTGCCCTGCAGGAAGTCGATCATCACTGGCAGCGGCTGTGGGGGATGTGGAAAGGCAAGGACGGATACAGGGTGCAGAGCGATGAATGGGGACTCTAAAGGTTGACTCCCCCACTCCAGTGACTCAGAGGGTTGCCATGCAGGAACCCGACCATCACTGGCAGTGACTGTGGGGGGTATCGGGAGAAGGGGTGCAAAGAGATGAAAGGTTTTTTCGCAGGTTTACTTGCCCGCTCCAGTGGCTCACCAGGCTGCCTTGCAGAAACCTGATCATCACTGGCAGCGGCTGTTGGGGGTGTGGGGGACAAGGACGGAGGCAGGGGTGGAGAGCGGTGAGGGATGCTTCCACAGGTTGACTCCCCCACTCCAGTGGCTCACCGGGTTGCCCTGTAGGAACCCGACCATCACTGGCAGCGGCAGTGGGGGAGAAAGGTTGTGAGAAGAAGGAAGGAATGGCGTGAGACGGGATGTATTGGGGAAAAAACATCATGAGAGTTGCACAGGGCAAGGGCCGCTCGGAAAAGATACGGAAGAGTGGAATACGGGAAGTGCAAGCAAAGATGACTACACGAAAAGTTGAGGAGAACCAACACTGTTGCGGCTGCTTGGAGATCAGGTGTGGATGAGGAGGGAGGTGGGCGGAAGGGGTGAGCAGGGGGGATAAAGCAGGGAGGAGAGGAGGAAGCGGAAGATTTGACGGAATCACACATACTGCCTCGGCTGAAGGGCAGTAAGGCATGGGGAGAAATATAGGTGTTGAAGAAGGGGGGAGAGAGAGGGGAGGGGGATTCTGCGGAGGGGAAAGGTGAGGAGAGGGAAGATGCAACCGGGTGTCTGCATGGAGCAAAAGCTTGGAGGTGACAAACACACTAGACGTAGGCTCCTGCTCACGAGTGCTCATGTTTGCAGACTCCTCGATGTGATGGGAGGGTAAAAACAGAAGGGTTTAAGCAAGCATCATCGCACGGGCCTTGTGAGTCGACACACAAGGCACCCCTTGAGACGTGTCTCAGGAGTATCACAGGGGAAGCACAGTACCTAGGCAAAGGAGTGCTCTACCTCCAAGATGTTGCTTGCAGGGTGTATTTAAGAATTCTCAAAAACACCCCACAGCACTTCGGCCCATACCTCCAAGGCATTTCAATCGAATCAAATCCTGAAGCAATGCGATCATGTAACCGTGTAACCAGCACTTGCATGTCTCGCCTATTCGCTGAGCATGTGCTGCCATATGTTCTTCTCCTCCGCCTGCCAGCTGTGGCTGAACCAACCAAGTGAGCCCTCCTCCACACCATGACTGCTTCTGCAGGCAGTGGTAGTGGCGGCGGTAAAGGCACGCGACTCACTATCACTGACAGCAGCGTTTCCAGCAGCTGTAGTGGCTGTAGCAGCCATGGTACAAGCAGCAGCAGCAGCAGCAGCAGCAGCAGCAGCAGCAGCAGCAGCAGCAGCAGCAGCAGCAGCAGCAGCAGCAGCAACTGTAGTGGCTGTAGCGGCGGCAGTGTTAGCAGCACCAACAGTGGCAGTGGCAGTGGCATTGGCAGCAGGGGAAGCAGGAGCAGCGGCAGCAGAAGCAGGGGCTTGGAGGTGGCTGTTGGCATGGGTCGCTTGGAGGAGGAAAGGGGTGAAGGTATTTTTAGAAGTCACAAAGGGGTGGGCCGCTGCAATAGGGGAACACTCTGAAGCGACAGAGGGATGGGAGAATAGAGGAGGGGAAGATTATTAGAAGGCTGAAGGCACTTTTATGATTCCCTCTCAAAGGAGTGAGCTGCTGCAATACGGAGGGATGACGATATAGAGTGGAGGGTTTCTCCCCTTCCCTCCACCCTTCCTCTTCATCCCCTCCTTACTTTCCTCCATCTACACTTCCCACTCCCCTTCTCACTTCCTCCTTACGACAACTTTATTACCCTTCCCGCCCCAGCGCTTCAACTCAACTCACTCAAACCCAATCCCTCTCCGAGGCCCCCTCAAAACCATCCACCCTCCTCCCAGTTGCCCCCGACATCAAAGGATTGACTTGACTCACTATAACCCTTCTTCCCCTTTCTTCCCTCTTCCCTCACCATTCCTCTCTGCCACCCCTACACCTATCTCAGTGCTCTCGTCCAGTGAAGTCACCCCACTAGCCCCATTACCCGCCATTACCCCGCTACCCCCACTACCCTCCACTACCCCCATTACCCGCCATTACCACCCCACAACCTTCCCTCCCCTTTCACAACCCCCACAAGTCATATCAACATTCAGAATAGCCTGGTGTATGTCAGATTCAAATTCAGGGCGTCATGAGTTCTCATTGTTCTATACTAACTTTCAATGCCTTCACGCCAGAAGTAGCATATATATTTGAACTTACAAAAAATAGGCGCGCCCACATGCTCACCAAGCTTACCTAACCCATTCACCCACACACACCACCTAACCTAACCCTTCCGCCCTCACACACAAACATACCTCACCCAGCACAGCAGCATCACCAAGAGAACTACCGTATTCAGCAATCAGCAAGTGCCAGTAGCAAGCCACATCTTGCCCTGCGCACCTCCCATCTCCCCCTACCCCACCAGCACATCTTTCGTAGTGCGCAGGAGCGAGCTACCGCTTGCCTTCACCGCGCCCTTGGCCCCCTTGCCGCTGCTGTACGCATTCGCCGCAGCCTTGAGCGCGTCCACCCCGCCCTTCTCCACCTCCTAATTCGCAATGCCTCCCGCCTTGACCGTCTTGTGCGGGTACTTTTTCTTCCTCTGCTCCTTCTTCTTCATCATTTCCTGAAACTTCTTTATCATCTCTGTGATAACAGACTGCCCGTTTCCCTTGATCCGCCCATTCTTGTTCACCATCTGCTCATTCTTATTCACCATCTGCTCATTCTTCTTCAACTTGTGAAGAATCTCTTTGAACTTCTTCATCTGCTCCGAGCTCAGCAGCACTCTCACCGCCTCGTCCAGCCCGTCCGTGGCCTCCCCCACCTCCTCCTCCTCCGCGGCACCCACGTGGTCCACGTGCGCACCGCTGCTCGCTTCCAGCAGCTTGCGGCCCCACCTCGCCGCCGCGTCCACGGCCGCGCTTCCCCCACCAGTGACGTCGCCCCGCTGCTTTGGCGCAGCCGCGGCGTAGAGTGCGGGGAGCGAGGCGAGGACCAACGCGAGGATGAACACGGAGCGAAGAGTGGCCATGTTTAACTGCGAGAGTAGCAATGGATTCTCGAGAGTAGCTCTGCGAGCGATGATGAGGATGAGATGATTTGGGTGACTATCTAGAACTGAGAGAAGAAACTCACAGTCAAGTGATGTTGAATGGTGGAACGGAGGCAGTTCAAGTACTAACGAAAGACGTGGAGGCGCGAGTGGTGGAGGGAGAGCGTCGGTTGCCACCATAATGGTACCGCTTGCAGCAGCTCGCGGGTATTGCTAGAGGCCGCCGCAAAACGCGCGACACGGGGGAAAATATGGATCCGCCCGCACCGCGCGACATGGCGCGCAACTACCGCGTGTTGCGCTAGACCCCGATTCGGAGGTGGACGGCAGCGCGGCAATAATGGCTGGTGGTCCATTTCGAATACTAAGAGCTGTGACTAGCGGGACTCGTCGCTAGTGACGAAACTGATGAGTGAGGGTCCGGTGGGGAAGAGCAGTACGCCCTCTGTACCCTAGCGCTAGTAACCTAGTTCTCTCATTCCTGCTTGCAGTTATTGCTTGCATCATGGCGCCGCATAATACGCAAATGAGTTCGTGAGGGTGTGGGATGGACTCGCTAGTGACAAGGACACACACTGGTACGCACGGTGTGAACTGGGTTGGGTTTGGGTTATGTTGGTTTGGTTTGGGTTGGGTTGAGAGCTCTCAGTGCAAGAGAGCTCCGAGGTGGGCGGCTGTGGGGCAATAATGTCCTTAGTGGAATTGTTTATCGAGTTCGTGTAACGAAATGTGAAATACCGGTAATACTATCGATCAACTCTATAAGACTACTTTCTTTGCCAAGAAATGCCCATTACAAACAAAAAAGCACGGTATGTCCGCCTCCAAAAAATGGGTATCACGCCAAGCTTCCGGTCCCTCCACTAGGGTGCATGAAGTGCAAGGAACTTCCTGAAGTAACTTAAAGGAACGATTGCCTCGCTGGGACTTTTCTGAAATGATGCTTCTAGCTAACAGGAATGGCGATCTTGACGCCTCGCTGGCAGTCCTTGCCCACACTGCTTCCAAAGAAGAGCGTCTTGCCGGCATGGGCGGGCTTGACTTGAAAGAGCCGCATGCCGAACTGCGAGGCGGAGGTGAGCGGCACGGCGTTGAGGAAGGCACAGGCCTTGAAGGCAAAGATATTCTTGAAGCGCTGCACGTCGTGCGTCTCGGCGAACCACTGGAAGACTGGAGATGGGTGAAGACAGAATGTGTGGCACAGATTAAGGCAGGAAACGCGTTTTGAGATTCCCAGAGCTCGAAGGCTGCACATCTCTAGTCTCTGTGAACCACTGACAGACAGAAAAAGGGGAGGTGGGGGAAGGGTGGGTAGGCTGATTGAAATATCTCAACTTGAGCATTATTAGACTGGAATGGGACACACTTATGCATGGGGTGAAGGAGTGGGGATAAAGGTGCCAGTGGGAGCGAGGGAGTGGTTGGGAGCAAGTATAACCTGGGTGACACCCACAGTCCAGTGCGGTAAATTCCTCCCCTCTCAATAGGTTCAGCCTAACCGCGCCCTACCAGCCTTCCATTCAACTCACACCCACCCCACTCACCCACTCCAGCCCAGCCACTCCTCACTCACCAAGAATGTCCCCTGGCTTGACAGCAGGCGGCTTCCACAGGTTCACTCCCCCACTCCAGTGGCTCACTGGGTTGCCCTGCAGGAACCCGACCATCACTGGCAGCGGCTGTGGGGGATGTGGAAAGGCAAGGACGGAGGGGGATATGTGGTGCAAAGCGGCGAGGAAGGTTTCTATTGGTTCACTCTCCCGCTCCCAGGGTTGCATTGCAGGAACCCGGCCATTACTGGCGAGGGCTGTTGGGGGGATTGGAAAAGGGAAAGAATGGGGGAAATGGGTGCAAGGGGATGAGGGGGAATCCCATTAGGTGACTACCCCGATCTAGTGGCTCACTGGAAAACCCGACCTTAACAGGCAAGTGTTGCGAGGAAGGGAAGAAAGGGTGTGAAAGCAAGGCATGGCGTGAGATGGATGTATTGGGAAATAAAATGCACTAAGAAGTGCACTGGGCAAGGTCCGCTCGAAAAGCATAAGAAGGAGTGGTAAATGGGGTACATGGAAAGTTCATAGAAAGGGGCAGAAGCGCAATCAGGTGTGAAATCAGTTCACTTCAACAGTTTGCGAAAAGTGTCACTCGTCTATGGGTGTATTTGCAGAATATGGTAAGTTGCGTCAATAACGTAGCATGAGATGACGCACAACACATGGGGAATCAAGAGCGAGGAGAATTTACCTGGGTGTACGCAACACCTGCACACACGACAAATAATAGAACACAGGGAAAGGAAGAATGAAGGACAGTATATATTTTTGTAAGCCTTTCAGCTAGGACACCAAGGAAACAAGGGCAGATGCTTGCAAGTGAAGGCTTTGGTGAAAAGTATAAATGACAGCGAATGTCAGGCGCTTACTGGTGAAGGTTGCTGCGAGAAGCAGCAGAAGCAGAGGGGACATCCCAGCCGTCCGTGCAGACGCCATGGTGTGAGCGACACCCTGAGGGACACCCTAGCCTCTCTCCGAGCAACACCCTGAGCGAGACCCAGAGATGCGGTTTCGAAGGCTATAGACCAGCAACGACGCCGTGCAGTTCTGGTGGTGCAAATGCGCGGCTTCACCTGCTCTCCAGGCGGTCAGCGTCAGTAGCGTTACCTAGAGCCTGGAATCCGCCAATTTTCACCTCAACTTTTGGGGGAATGGTGCGTGTGCAGGTGGGGGAATGGTGAGCGGTGTCAGCTACCAATCGGTGAAACGGCTTTTCCTTTCTGGAAGTATGATGGTTCAAAGAATGGTGATGTTCACTACGGAAAGGAGTGCAGAGGAAGCCGATACTACTCAGTGGGTATTGAGTTTTCAACCGAAGCTGTGTATGAATGACTGGTGCGCCTGTTTATTCCCATCGAGCATACCATAGTAACCGTGACCGCTTCGAGTTTTGCCGCTTGCACGGAAAGAGTGAGAGAGAACGAGTGAGGTTGAAAGTTTTGGCGGCACAGCGCGCGCCGCGGCGCATTTCATCACCTCTACAGCCAATGCTGCGACTGCACGCACCGTGGATTCGCTTTCAAAGGCAACGATTCCATCTGACAGCCGACCGGGCCCGGACCCCTCTTTCGCAGTCGTCATTGCAGGCACGTGCGAGTGAGAGGGTGTGCCGGACGGTGGGGTGTTGCTGTGCTACAGGACAAGAATGCGTGTACTGTATCTCAGTAAGTCTAACTGTAACTAAAATCGACGGTAACATCTCCACGCACATTCCGGCGGGAACAGCCACCAGTTTCACTTCTATCTTAGTCTGGAGGTAGCTTGTCTATTAGATGGGGTCGGTCAGTGTAGCTGTATCAATTCGTTCATCCAAGAAGGGCTTCCCGCGAATTGCGGCCGACCAAGTCAAACTTCAGCTTCGAGAGACTTGAAAAAATGAAGAGCTTCGCCGAGCAGGATCTGACGGTTGGATGCGGAAAAGCGAGGCGTGGCGGCGAATGGTGTGGTGGTGAGGTGAGGGGATGGAAAGCTAAACGTGGCGGAGAACGCTCGGAAAACGAGCTCCGAGAATGCCGAGGCGATAAGGCAGTGTTCAGGCCTGGCGATGGAAACTGGGATGTGAAGGAAGAAACTGTTGCCCAACGGGAGGCTGCAAGCTGCAATATTTTCCATCTTCCGTGAATTGGGATTGGTCAGACGGAGAGCTCGAATTCAAACTCGAAACTTCAAGGTTTCCCGCCTTTACCTGTATCGCTGGAAGCCACACCGTTTAGAACAAATCATCTACATTCATTATCACACGCATATGACAAGAAAAGTGGTAAATGACGCTGGTTTTAACCTTCACGTCAAAGTGGTATTGTTTATCATAGTTGGCCAGCCGTAGTATTTCTGGCTTCCGTTATTTTGTTTCTGCTTGAATTGAGTGTTTGACTATCCTGGCTTTCATGGCTGCTAAAACCTGCCTCGCTATCATGACAATAACCATGTCAAAGTAAGGAGGTAACTAAGAGTAAGGATGCCTAGGCTTAGGAGCCTAGGCAAGGAGGGTGTCGAGGAGATGGTACCAAGGGAAGCCAAGAAATGGAGGACTTCACTATAGGAAATACAGAACATATAGGAGAAAGGAGGGAGGTGCACCACCAACAACAAGAAGCATATAGCTACACTAGGAATTACTGTAGGCAGTTATATAAATGTAGACAAGTACATTTCAACAAACCACCACTCGGTGAATCTTCACAACGGTTACCTCCACCAGACTCCCTCGCTTCAACATCATCCTCAGCAGCCGCATGCCCATCAATTCTGCGAATCTCTTCCATCTCGCAATCAAACTCCAGCCCTGCCGCTTCCAGCTCCTCACAGAGCCCCTCATAGCTGCGTGTCACGGCACTCAGCTGATTACGTAGGAGCTCCATCTCCATCCTTAGACTGGGAGCTGAACCAATCAGGGAGAAGGAGGGGAAGGATGCAACAAATAAGAGCCCTTCTATCTAACCTCTCCGCCCTTCAGGGCTGCATCGGGTATTCAACGTCCATAATTGAGAAGTTATCATTCGTATACCTTCACAACGCTGCCCGGTACACCCTCAAGTTATCATTTGCCCAGTACATCCTCTGTTACACCTTCCCCGCCAGTGCCTCCACCGCCCCCATGCGACTCATCACCTCTCACAGGTACCCCCTTAGCTGCTGCACCCACCTGCTTTCAGGAGCTGAACTTACCTGCTCTCAGGTGCTGCAAGCTGCTCTTCACAACGCTGCTCGTCCAGTTCATCCGTTTGTACACCTCCCCTGCCAGAGCCTCTACTGCCTCCACGCGACTCACCAGCTCCTGCAGATGACCCTTGGGGGTTGCAATGCAACCAGCTGCCCCAAAGCGCACAACCTACCATCCCTGCCACTGCTTCCCTGAATAGTAAACAATTATTGGACTTGCCTGCTCCCTACTTGTTGCACTGCTCACCTGCTCCCTACTTGTTGCACTGCTCTCAAGTGCGCAACCTACCTGCCCTCAGGTGCTGCAGGTTGCTCTTCACGACACTGCTGGTCCAGTTCATGCGCTTATACACCTTCCCTGCCAGTGCCTCTACTGCCTCCATGCGACTCATCAGCTCCTGCTGGTTACCGCACACCCTCCCCGCCACGTCAGCATGCCACTGCTCGTACCCCCCCAGCACAGCGGCTGACGTGGCGCCTTGAGATTTCAAATCACGCACTGCCACGGCTGCATAAGAATCGAGTGTGGATGAGGAGGGATGTGGGCGGCAGGAGTGGGCAGCGAGAAGGGGGAGGAACGGGAGAGGTTTGAGGAGGGGGTTTTGAGGGAAACGCACACACTACCCTGGCTGCAAGAATCGAGCGTGGATGAGGAGGGAGGTGGGCAGGGGGGAAAGTGGGCGGGGGGAAGGGAGGGGGGAAAGGAACGACTGGGAAAGCGTTGTTCCGAGGAAATCAACGGTGTTGCTTTCAGTACGACATTGGGATACTTGGAGGTGAGGTGAGGTGAAGGAGCGGGGGAAGGGCGGGGGAAAGGTGAGGCGAGGGAAGTGGCATCTGGGTGTAAGCACGGAGTGATAAACCACAGGTGACAAAAGTAAAACAGGGGATGGATGGGAGGGAAGCAAAACAGGGGTGTAAACAAATCCTGAGACCTCCATCAGGAGTATCACAGTCCGAGAAATTTGAGTATGATAACAGCGGGTGCTTAAGATTAACTAGATTAACTCTTGCGACCCCCTCAGACTATGAGAAGAGGAGGCAGTAGGCTCTCACGACGACTGCTCGTCCTCCAAAACGTCTCTCAATCAATTCGAATCATGCAATGCAACCACGTGATCAATCAAGTAACCGTGTAACCAGCATTCACTCGCATGTCTCACCTATTCTCTGCGCATGTGCTGCCATCTGCTCTTCTCGGCTGGCGGCTGTGGCTGAACGAGGTGAGTCCTCCACCAGGCCTGTCTCAAAGGTAGCAGCAGCAGTGGTGGTGGTGGTAGCAAAGGTACCTGTCTCTGCATCACCGGCAGCAGCTTTCCCAGCAGCTGTAGCGGCTGTAGCAGCAGCGGTGCCAGCAGGAGCAGTACCGGCGGAAGCAGGAGAAGTGGTGTTAGCAGCAGAGGCAGCACCAGCAGCAGTATTAGCAGCACCAGCAGTGTTGGTGTGGTCTGCCTGGAGGAGCAAAGGGGTGAGCTGCTGCAGCAGGGGAACACTCTGCACCAACACGGGGGAAAGGAGAGGGGAGGATCGGGGAAAGGTTGGATGCACTTAAACCTTCAATCAACCTACTGCACTTCGCGAATTCAAAATACTTCAACTTCCCCTTTGCACGGTTTTAGTTTAGAAAACGCAAGGGGATAAGCTGCTAAAGTAATAGAACACTCTGAGTAAGGGGAAATGACTTCAACTCTCACTCCCCTTCCTCCTTATGACCCTTCCCATTCCCCTCCCGACTCACGTTCTACACCCCAATACCCACCAAAGAGTCCACACTCTCTGCGAGCACTTGTCTTTTCTCTCCAACCTTTCCCCAATAGCACCGCGTTCAACCGCACACCAGCACTTCAACAATACTCAAACCAATTCACCTTTAGACGTCTCAAGGCCTTCCATCCTTCCCCACCACCCCTACAACACTTGCAAATCGACTCGACTAACTGCTTCCCTATCACCCTTCTCCCCTTTCTCATCCACCACTCCCCCCCCCCCCCCCCCCCCCCCCCCCAATTCTTCCCTGCCACCCCTACAGGTATCTTCCCGTTGTGCAGCCAGTCACCACTCTACCCCTCTACCACACTATCCCCACCACCCCCACCACCTCCCGCACCACCCACCACTACCCACCATCCCTCACCAACTCCCACCATCCCTCACCATCTCCCACCATCCCTCACCATCTCCCACCATCCCCTCCAACCCCACTCCCCCCACAACCTGTCGCAGCGCTCTCAGTCGTTGCAAAGACTCATCCTCCTCCTCCTCCGCCCCTTCCCCCGCCGACACTACCGTGATGACGTCAGCCCCGCCAGCCTGGAGCGCGTGACGTGGGGAGCGCGGAGGAGTCGGGGGGCCCCGGGGGAGGGGAGAGGGGAGGGGGAAGGAGGAGGGGGAAGAGGGGTTGGGGGTGGGGAGGGGAGGTGGGAAAGGGGGGTGGCGGGGGGCAGCGGGAAGAGGGGAATGGAAACCAGGGTTGGCGGGAGGGCGAGTAAAGTGGGGTAACGGAGGGAGGTAGAGGGGAAGCGGGGACGGGAGAGGGGGAGGGAGGGAGGGAGGTGGTGGAAGGGAAACGGAGCAGGGAGAAGAGGAGTGGGGCGAATCTGAGGCGCTTTTGAGAATTCTAAAAAACGACAAGATGGGGGCGAACGTCAGCGAATCGCCTTGCCTCGCGTCGCCTAATTCGGCGCCCAGAGGAGACTAGGACGGCATGTTTCTACTTTCTGGAAACTCGAGCAGCTCTGGTTCAGGCGACGCGCACTTAGAAATAATGCACAGAACTGCGTGGAAATGCGTGACGCAGTCGGCGCATGCTTCCATTAGCGCGTGACTCTAAGAAGGAAATGCGTGATTCTACTGGGAACATAGGGACTTGCCTGGCGAACACGGCTGGCAGCAGCTCCCATGGAAGTCGAGGCAGAGCGGCGAGGTAAGGGTGTCTAAAGTAGACGTCTCGGGAAATTCGAAAATGAAGTCCGAGTCCAAGTTACATTGTTCGCGAGAATCGCGAGAGTCGGAAAATATCGACTTCCAGTGGTACTCCTTGGCTCTGTGCCGTCCAAGGCGCTTGAGCAAGGCAGGTAGTTGTAGCCGTTGGAGTTTTCACCGGACTGTACCGCACTGCAAACTGCTTCTTTTCATTTTGTTTAGATGCTGAGTCAAACTCCTGGCATTGTTCGCTTTACAAGGACAAGTTCTCCTCAAGAATTTAGCACTATATAAAACTTCACCGCAATACTAGGAATCTTAGATATGTGCATTGCATATTACGCAAGTCTAGGAGTTAAACTACTATATAGCATGCTGCATAACATCAAATAATGGGTGTATAAATATTGGGAGACTACTAGTCTCTTATTGTGCTCGTTTTCTTTGCTACGGTAAGTGCAGCAACATCAGCGCACCCTAACTTGAGCTTTCAACCCCTTCGTACACTCCTTCTGGACGCTGCTCCCAAAATAGAGGATTTTCCCACGCTCTGATTTTTGAACCCAGTACACATCCAAACCTAAGAACCGCCTCGGCCCGACCGGGTCTGCTCTGGAAAAATCGCAGCTGTCAAACGCCTGCTTGTCCGGGAACTGCTGTACGTCTCGCATCTGGCCGAACCAGCGGAACACTGGAAAGAAGGGGTTTTGGAAAGAGGGTGAGGGAGAAGAGAGTGGGGGATATGGAAGGGTGAGGGGAGGGGGGGGAGTCAGGGAGAGGGAAGGGAGGGGGGGGGAGAGCGGGGGAGTACGAGTGATGGAGGGGTTGGGGGAAAGGGGGGCATCGAAAACCGCAAGTGGGGGGGATGGGGGAAGACGGAGGGGGAGAGGGAATGTGGAAGACGGGTGTCTGTGATGGAGAAATTGCAGCTGTCAAACGCCTGCTTGTCCGGGAACTGCTGCACGTCTCGCATCTGACCGAACCAGCGGAACACTGTAAGGAACATAAGTGTGGAGTTTTTGGTTGGGGATGAAAAATGAGGGGTTTGGGAGAGTGGGATATGAAGCAGGGTAAGGGATGACGGAAGCAGGGGGCATGGAAGGGTGGGGGTTGAGAGGGTGGCAGGGAGAAAGGAGAGGAGGGAAGCGGGGGAGATGAAATAGGAAGTTGGGGGGAGCAGGAGTGATGGGAGGGGTGGGGTGAAGCGGGGGGGAGTGGAAACAGTACGGAAAGCACGGGAGGAAGGGAGGCCGGAAAGAAGGGGATGGGGGAAGGAATGTGGAAGAGGGGTGTTTGCAACGGCATAAGGTGAAGCGGCGGTTGGGAGGGGGCAGTCATATGCAGCAGGCCTGGTTGGGTAAGGAATCTCAACTTAAAGGGCCTAAGAAAAGGTACTGTTTTCTTCCATAATGGGTTGATGAACCAGGCAATGGGAACCATGGAGAAATGGAGATATTTACGTAAGGAACTCGTTTTGATTCTCGCAGACTTCTTATTGACTCATGATTGACTCCCGTTGACTCATTTGTGACTGAGCGACTGCCTCACAAACAAAGCCTCCAATCATCTCTTTTGGAGTTCCCTGGCGAGGCCTCCCCGTTCCCCCTTCCTCCACGGGATCACTGACGAGGAACCCAGCTTCAGACCAACCGTAATCGTTCCCGTTGACTCCCGTTGACTCTCGTTGACTCACAGAGGAAGTCTCCTGGTCGCACGGCAGGCATCTTCAAGTCGAGCAGCCCTTTGCTCCACGGGTTCACGTTCGACCGACCCGACTCCAGGCCTACCACCACCACTCGAGGCTGGTGGATTCCGGGAGAAGAGAGGGGGGGAGAGTAGTCGAATTTGACATTTGAGTTGACTCAGAAGACAACTCGGGTTCACGGACGACCTACCCGACTCCAGACCTACCACCACCACTCGAGGCTGGTGGATTCCCGGAAAGGGAAGGCGGGGAGAGTAGAGGAGACGACAGGAGATGAGAGAAGCGGAGAGGAGAGGAGAGGCGAGGAGAGGCGAGGAGAGGCGAGGCGAGGCGAGGAGAGGCGAGGCGAGGAGAGGCGGGGTAAGGGTGGTGGTGGAGACTTGGCTGGGTTTAGAAGTGTGGCAGATTGGCTGAGCTGCTTGTTACGGAAGATTATTGGTACCTACCTTCTCACGGCCTGTGAAACAAATGCAAATAAATGCGGAAAAATAGGAAACAAATGCAAGTGAAGGCGAATGCACGCAGGTAAGAGAGTCCAGATAAGGACTGCCGCAGTCCAGCTGGCGAAAGCCAAGAGATACTCCTGAGGGTTTTGTGACGCCAGTGCTTGAAGAAGTTTCTCCGAATCTTCTTACCAGTGCTTCTGTGACGCCTGACGACCCCGAGACGACGAGATGCGCGCCGAGTAGACCGGCGCATCAACGCAGAGCGGTTGGGAAAGGTACAAGCATTCGACGAGTGGGGGGAGGGCGTGATGGTTTAGCGATGGCCCGGCAATAGTCCAACGAAGCGCAGAAGAGCGAGGTTCATGTGAGGGATGGGAGGATGGGGGAATGGGGGGGATGGGAGTCCGAGGAGTGAGGGGAACAAGTGAGGAAAATGAGCAACAATTCCGCGTATGAGTGAGAAGATGGTTGCGGGAGACAAGGAGAACGCAGAGAAAGGCGAGGTGGAGGAAGGCATGTGCGCGAGGAGAATGCGTTTCGAAACGTCTCGAATCTCGTCAAGGAGTAGGTAGACCAAGGCGAGGTCGAAACGTCCTTTGCGGGCGGTGAATGAGGGGTAACATGAACGAGATGAGAGGCGAAGGGGATGAGAAGGGAGGGGTCGAAATAAAATTGAAAACGCAGCTCGGAAATGGAAGCTGAGGAGGGAAGTTTGAATTCGACACAAAAAATCTCCACTGCACTTTTCTGGGAAGCTAGGAGTCGACTCGAACAAGGCTGCAGTGCGGAGCTGCGTCCATTACGCTGAGCTAATTACCGGCCGTAACGAGGAGCAGCAGCAGGACTGAAGCAGCGAAGAGCTTTCCCGAAGCCGCTCCTTCGCTGCCTTTCCGGAGGAAACTCATCGTGAAGAATGCTTGTGTAGTACAGGAAACGTCTTAACGCTTGCTCTCCGGCGCACCGTAAACGATATGTTGGTAATAGATGTCGCTTGATTTGCGCACTGCAAACGAGGCACGACTTTCAAGATACGCAAGCTCTGCTTGAAACTGAGTTCTTTGCCTGAGTCGATTCCTAGCAATTGGGAGTGAAAACGAGAGGGGAAATGGTGCTGCAATGGCCTGAACGCAAGCGTTGTGCAATTGCGCGTGTATGAGATCGCCGAGGCGAAAGATTCACTGCCGAACTGCCGAGCATGAGGGAAGAAGGCTTGAGTGGTCGCATGAGGTTCTGTACTGGACCAAAACTTCACTGCTGGCGGTGGAATGTGTATTTTTCTTTTCGCGCGTACCAACTTGCGAGGACGAAATGCTGATGAAGAGTGGTCTCTCCATCTTGATGTTTGATGGGGTGGCGCGGCTCGACTTGATCGAATAGCCTTGGCTCACCTCCCCACCCCAACCATCCAGCCAAAAAGATTGCTGCGGTACGTGACCGTTGATGCATCATCACCCATTTTGAGGTTCCGCTGTTGTGGGAGCCAACAACGAGTACGAAATGTGCAGAGAAGTAATGTACAAACATAGAAACGGGGTAGATGAGCTAAAGCGTATTTATTGCAGCCTAAGCTTGGTGTACACAATCATCAACAGACATATGTTTAAAATATAATTTATTAATAAATACATATATATGCAAGTGTGTTTTTGAAAGACAAAACTTGTTTCAAGCGTTTTAATATAAATGGTTACATTCCAACGTTATGGAGGCAGTAAACTAGTACGTAGTGTACTTTCCCAAATTCCTCGTGTGACTGTACCGAGGTTGAGGCAGGGTAGATTAGGAGGAATAGTAGGTGCACCCTTTCCATCCCAATCTTGCCGTCTCGTTATAACCAGAAATGGCGGTCAGCAGCAGCAGATACGCTGGTGCGATCTTTGTTCAGTAGTTGGCAGAATAGATGAAGCTGGACTGTAGAAGTATCTCAGGCTAGAATGCCGGCAATGAGCCATCTCCGCATTTATACGAATGGATAGAATATCCGTCTGCAAAAGTCGGCATTGTAGCTGTCGCTTCGAGATTCGTACCTAGTTCTTCTCCTTTCCACCCCTAATCACTAGTTTCGTTACTACGAGTGTTTAGCTCGTTCGCTTAGATATGACCCGACTGACTCAACCAACACTGACCAACGTGTAACAATTCCAGAATTATCTATCAATTAACCATTCGCGCATTGCATCCCCAATGGGGTCCTCGCTGGCTTCCCTCCTCCACGGCCTGTACCTAATCCTTTGTCCTTAATCGGCATAGGGCATTACTTCTTTTCGTCACACTAACTTCAGGAACATTTATTCCTTCCATTTATAAATTACTATTACTGATTCGTTCGTAATTACGTTTCTTCCATTCCCGACGACATATTCCACAATGTCGTCGCCATCAGCCATTCGGGTCGCGACCCGTCGCTTCTCCGTCGTCGCCTTACTCCTACCTCTCCTTCTCACCGTCACTCCAGCCGCCTCTCACGTCTCACAGCATTTCGTAGATTCCTCTAGTGGGGAGTGGGAAGGAGAACTAGGGTTACCAGATTCAGGAGGCGTAATAGCGGGTGATCCGACGTTTCAGGTGCCGTCCAACGGCGTGACTCGCGCCGTGTTTCACGGCCGGCGCGCGCTGCTGCAAGCGGCCGCGCCGGCCTCCGAGGCCCCCCTCTCCGATACCGCGGATCCCTCCGCCTCCGCTCCCGCATCCTCCGCGCCCTTAGCCCCTGCTTCCGCTCCCGCTTCCGCCTCCCCTTCCGCTCCCCCTTCCGCCTCCCCAGCTGCTCCGCCTTCCGCCTCCCTTTCCGCTCCTTCCGCCCAGCCCTCCTCCCCATCCCCTGGGGGGCCCTCAAGCGGGACCCCCCTAACGACCCCCGCGACCCCCGCTCCCCCGTCTGACGCAGGGGGGGGGAGCGGGGGGAATGTGGGGGATGGGGGGGCAACGTTCGACATGCCCGGACCTGTGTGCGAGGGGCAGTGCTGCTCCAATGCGGCCCCGGTAATCCCAGACGGAATGCCCAAGATGACGTCATCATGGCTCAGCAGCCAGCTGGCGCACGGCGCTAAGGTGGGGAGAGAGAGGGGAGAGCGGGAATTCGGTAGTGAGGGGAAAGGATGAGAAGGTGACTTTTGAGGGTTCTCAGAAGTGACTCCCATATAGCCAGCTGACGCATGGCGCTAAGGTGGGGGGAAGCGGGGAGAGGGTGAATGGGGGATTGAGAAGAGGTTGAGTTGAGTGGGAAGATTGAGAAGAGGGTGAGTGAAGGAAGGAAAGGAGAGGGTAAATGGAGGGTAGAGTGAACGAAGGATAGGAGAGGGTAAATGGAGGGTAGAGTGAAGGAAGGATAGGAGAGGGTAAATGGAGGGTGAGTGAACGAAGGATAGGAGAGGGTAAATGGAGGGTGAGTGAACGAAGGATAGGAGAGGGTAAATGGAGGGTGAGTGAACGAAGGATAGGAGAGGGTAAATGGAGGGTGAGTGAACGAAGGATAGGAGAGGGTAAATGGAGGGTGAGTGAACGAAGGATAGGAGAGGGTAAATGGAGGGTGAGTGAACGAAGGATAGGAGAGGGTAAATGGAGGGTAGAGTGAACGAAGGATAGGAGAGGGTAAATGGAGGGTAGAGTGAACGAAGGATAGGAGAGGGTAAATGGAGGGTAGAGTGAACGAAGGATAGGAGAGGGTAAATGGAGGGTGAGTGAACGAAGGATAGGAGAGGGTAAATGGAGGGTAGAGTGAATGAAGGATAGGAGAGGGTAAATGGAGGGTGAGTGAACGAAGGATAGGAGAGGGTAAATGGAGGGTAGAGTGAACGAAGGATAGGAGTGGGTAAATGGAGGGTGAGTGAACGAAGGATAGGAGAGGGTAAATGGAGGGTGAGTGAACGAAGGATAGGAGAGGGTAAATGGAGGGTGAGTGAACGAAGGATAGGAGAGGGTAAATGGAGGGTAGAGTGAACGAAGGATAGGAGAGGGTAAATGGAGGGTGAGTGAACGAAGGATAGGAGAGGGTAAATGGAGGGTAGAGTGAAGGAAGGATAGGAGAGGGTAAATGGAGGGTAAGTGAAGGAAGGATAGGAGAGGGTAAATGGAGGGTGAGTGAACGAAGGATAGGAGAGGGTAAACGGAGGGTGAGTGAACGAAGGATAGGAGAGGGTAAATGGAGGGTGAGTGAACGAAGGATAGGAGAGGGTAAATGGAGGGTGAGTGAACGAAGGATAGGAGAGGGTAAATGGAGGGTGAGTGAACGAAGGATAGGAGAGGGTAAATGGAGGGTGAGTGAACGAAGGATAGGAGAGGGTAAATGGAGGGTAGAGTGAATGAAGGATAGGAGAGGGTAAATGGAGGGTGAGTGAACGAAGGATAGGAGAGGGTAAATGGAGGGTGAGTGAACGAAGGATAGGAGAGGGTAAATGGAGGGTGAGTGAACGAAGGATAGGAGAGGGTAAATGGAGGGTAGAGTGAACGAAGGATAGGAGAGGGTAAATGGAGGGTAGAGTGAACGAAGGATAGGAGAGGGTAAATGGAGGGTAGAGTGAACGAAGGATAGGAGAGGGTAAATGGAGGGTGAGTGAACGAAGGATAGGAGAGGGTAAATGGAGGGTAGAGTGAATGAAGGATAGGAGAGGGTAAATGGAGGGTGAGTGAACGAAGGATAGGAGAGGGTAAATGGAGGGTGAGTGAACGAAGGATAGGAGAGGGTAAATGGAGGGTGAGTGAACGAAGGATAGGAGAGGGTAAATGGAGGGTAGAGTGAACGAAGGATAGGAGAGGGTAAATGGAGGGTAGAGTGAACGAAGGATAGGAGAGGGTAAATGGAGGGTGAGTGAACGAAGGATAGGAGAGGATAAATGGAGGGTGAGTGAACGAAGGATAGGAGAGGATAAATGGAGGGTAGAGTGAACGAAGGATAGGAGAGGGTAAATGGAGGGTGAGTGAACGAAGGATAGGAGAGGGTAAATGGAGGGTGAGTGAACGAAGGATAGGAGAGGGTAAATGGAGGGTGAGTGAACGAAGGATAGGAGAGGGTAAATGGAGGGTAGAGTGAATGAAGGATAGGAGAGGGTAAATGGAGGGTGAGTGAACGAAGGATAGGAGAGGGTAAATGGAGGGTGAGTGAACGAAGGATAGGAGAGGGTAAATGGAGGGTGAGTGAACGAAGGATAGGAGAGGGTAAATGGAGGGTAGAGTGAACGAAGGATAGGAGAGGGTAAATGGAGGGTAGAGTGAACGAAGGATAGGAGAGGGTAAATGGAGGGTGAGTGAACGAAGGATAGGAGAGGATAAATGGAGGGTGAGTGAACGAAGGATAGGAGAGGATAAATGGAGGGTAGAGTGAACGAAGGATAGGAGAGGGTAAATGGAGGGTGAGTGAACGAAGGATAGGAGAGGGTAAATGGAGGGTGAGTGAACGAAGGATAGGAGAGGGTAAATGGAGGGTGAGTGAACGAAGGATAGGAGAGGGTAAATGGAGTGTGAGTGAACGAAGGATAGGAGAGGGTAAATGGAGGGTGAGTGAACGAAGGATAGGAGAGGGTAAATGGAGGGTAGAGTGAACGAAGGATAGGAGAGGGTAAATGGAGGGTGAGTGAACGAAGGATAGGAGAGGGTAAATGGAGGGTGAGTGAACGAAGGATAGGAGAGGGTAAATGGAGGGTGAGTGAACGAAGGATAGGAGAGGGTAAATGGAGGGTAGAGTGAACGAAGGATAGGAGAGGGTAAATGGAGGGTGAGTGAACGAAGGATAGGAGAGGGTAAATGGAGGGTAGAGTGAAGGAAGGATAGGAGAGGGTAAATGGAGGGTAAGTGAAGGAAGGATAGGAGAGGGTAAATGGAGGGTGAGTGAACGAAGGATAGGAGAGGGTAAACGGAGGGTGAGTGAACGAAGGATAGGAGAGGGTAAATGGAGGGTGAGTGAACGAAGGATAGGAGAGGGTAAATGGAGGGTGAGTGAACGAAGGATAGGAGAGGGTAAATGGAGGGTGAGTGAACGAAGGATAGGAGAGGGTAAATGGAGGGTGAGTGAACGAAGGATAGGAGAGGGTAAATGGAGGGTAGAGTGAACGAAGGATAGGAGAGGGTAAATGGAGGGTAGAGTGAACGAAGGATAGGAGAGGGTAAATGGAGGGTAGAGTGAACGAAGGATAGGAGAGGGTAAATGGAGGGTGAGTGAACGAAGGATAGGAGAGGGTAAATGGAGGGTAGAGTGAATGAAGGATAGGAGAGGGTAAATGGAGGGTGAGTGAACGAAGGATAGGAGAGGGTAAATGGAGGGTAGAGTGAACGAAGGATAGGAGTGGGTAAATGGAGGGTGAGTGAACGAAGGATAGGAGAGGGTAAATGGAGGGTGAGTGAACGAAGGATAGGAGAGGGTAAATGGAGGGTGAGTGAACGAAGGATAGGAGAGGGTAAATGGAGGGTGAGTGAACGAAGGATAGGAGAGGGTAAATGGAGGGTAGAGTGAACGAAGGATAGGAGAGGGTAAATGGAGGGTGAGTGAACGAAGGATAGGAGAGGGTAAATGGAGGGTGAGTGAACGAAGGATAGGAGAGGGTAAATGGAGGGTGAGTGAACGAAGGATAGGAGAGGGTAAATGGAGGGTGAGTGAACGAAGGATAGGAGAGGGTAAATGGAGGGTAGAGTGAACGAAAGGGAGACGAGGGTGAATCCACATTACCGTGTGGTTCATGTGGCACATTGGCTAGTCCGCCCTCGTTTGACCTCAGGTTCGTGTTAAGAGGACCCGAAGACGACCACCTCTCCTCTCCTCTCCTGCGATGCCTTTTGAGTCGGCTTAGGTGTCCTCTCAAAGACCACCCCTCCTCTCACAATCTCTTTGCTCCCCGCTCTCCCACTGCCCATCTCCCCATCACACTTCTCCCCCTCACACTTCTCCCCCTCACACTTCTCCCCCTCACACTTCTCCCCCTCACACTTCTCCCCCTCACACTTCTCCCCCTCACACTTCTCCCCCTCACACTTCTCCCCCTCACACTTCTCCCCCTCACACTTCTCCCCCTCACACTTCTCCCCCTCACACTTCTCCCCCTCACACTTCTCCCCCTCACACTTCTCCCCCTCACACTTCTCCCCCTCACACTTCTCCCCCTCACACTTCCCCCCCTCATACTTCTCCCCCTCACACTTCTCCCCCTCACACTTCCCCCCCTCACACTTCTCCCCCTCACACTTCTCCCCCTCACACTTCCCCCCCTCACACTTCTCCCCCTCACACTTCTCCCCCTCACACTTCTCCCCCTCACACTTCCCCCCCTCACACTTCTCCCCCTCACACTTCTCCCCCTCACACTTCCCCCCCTCACACTTCTCCCCACCACATCCACGTGCGCCATCAGAATAGCAGCTTGTAGTGGCGGGCGGCATGTGAGTCGACCAAACACAGGTCTCTCTTCTCCCCCCCCCCTCCCCCCCTCTTCCCCTGCATCCCCCCCCTCCCCCTCCACTTCTCTGTCTTTTCCAGATCCACGTGCGCCACCAGAGCAGCGGCTTCTGGTGGCGGGCGGCGGACGGGAAGACATGGAGTGGCGGTGTGGCGACCAGCAGCGACTTTGACCAGCCGGACGTGGCTCAGGCGCTCACTGTCATTCGCGTCAGTGATACCACGGTGCGTGTTGTGTGGGTGTGTGTGCCTGTGTCTGTGTCGGGGGGACAGGGGGACATGGGTGGGAGGGCGGGATGAGGGAGAGAGCATCGTGGAGTGGCGGTGTGGCGACCAGCAGCGACTTCTCCCAGCCGGACGTCTCCCAGGCGCTCACTGTCATTCGCGCCAGTGATACCACGGTGCGTATTTGGCCGTGTGCATGTGCACGTGCTTGCATGTGTCTGTGTTGGGAGAAGAATGGGTTAAGTGGAAGGGTCTAAAGGGGTGGGTGGGAGCGTGCGAGCAGCGGACGGCAAGACGTGGAGTAAGTGGCAGTGTGGCGACCAGCAGCGACTTCTCCCAGCCGGACGTGGCTGGCTCAGGCGCTCACTGTCATTCGCGTCAGCGCCACCACGGTGCGTGCTGTGTGGGTGTGTGCGTGTGCATCTGTGTGGGAGAGAGGGGGTTGGATGGAGTGGCGGTGTGGCGACCAGCAGCGACTTCTCCCATCCCAGCCAGACGTCTCCCAGGCGCTCACTGTCATTCGCGTCAGTGATA